CATGGGTTGCGTTTGCATTAGACTGATTCATGTTTTGACTACTTGAGAAGAAACTCATTGCATCACATGTAATATTCATGTGATGTTGTGTAACTCTGGAACGTGACCTAATCTGTCCTGCAGCTATAAATAAAACAAGTGAGCCATGTTACCATGAGAGTTTTAAAGAAATCCATTTTCAGCTTTTGTTATACATATATCAGAAAAGTTCTGTTGTAAAAAGAAGTCTTTTCCTGGATCTAAACTTTCCAATATTGCCCCCCTTGCTATTCTCGTCACACACATTCATTTGTGTTCTTTGGTTTTTAATAGGTTTATTTTACTGTTATAGTCATGAAATCACAAAGAAAAACAGTGTTAATCTTTGTGTTTCTTGGAATTCCTTCCCACCTAGTTTTTAGATCCTGGCTCAAGTTTCCCTGGCATGTGGATTTTTCATTGGAACTCTTGTGACAGGTTACCCAGCTGTCAGGTTTATTATGCACCAATGACAACACATTTTTCTTTTCACCAACAAATCAATTAAGGCATACCCCTCTAACTCATTGACCCTAGATGACATCACCGACTGATTTATGGGCCTTTTTGATTGCTCGTTTAGCATTTTAGTCATTTCATTACTCTTTTAAAACAAGATATTACATCACTGAGGATATAAAGTAGCAACTTACAGGGTAGCAATGCCTAAATCTTTTCTTGGATTGTCATCTGATTTACTTTAAATTGGAAAATAATTTATAAAATGATCATCATTTTGTACTAAGTAAGGCTTAAAACTAGCGATTCCAACTATAATCTTATTATCAAAATGAATAGTGACATATCAAATCAAGTGAAAACTACACAATGATTTCTTGTACATTTTTATACTTTTATTTTTTAACCAACCCCCTGTTGGCCACTAGATAGAATGGAGGTTTAAGGAGCACTATTCTTAGACTTAGCAGCTATCTATCCATCTTTTACACTAGGTTGTTGGCTGCGAAAGATCAAATCTACCCTTTGATGATTAATTTAGCATATTTTGTCACATATTGTCTCCTTTGTTGTGTTCGACTGATCCGCTTTCAATGTTCTGCTAAAACATGTTATTTTCTTTACGTAGTGATTGAGTTCTTTGGGTCCAACAACAGGAAATTTGTTGCCATGGTGATTTGAACTTCCTACTCTATTGGCATGGTGATCCTGCCTGGCTGGTCTGGCATACTTCCTGTCCTCCTGGAAGACTCTGCAGCTGGCCATGAGTCTTCTTTGCACCCTGTTTATCTCAAACCATTGGTATGAATATAATTTTCCTTCAATGTGACACATTCGATGCTTAATCTTCACTTCATATTCACGCTGAGTCCAATAGTAAGTTGTGTTTATTAAAAGGATTGTTCCTGAATCTCCACACTGGTTGTTTTCACAACAAAGAACTATGGAGGCCATGGAAGTTGCTGCAAACATTGCTAAATGCAATGGGAAATGTTTACCACATGATCTACCAGAGGTATGACAACATTTTTGAACAACTGCATATTCTTATTAACATAGAAGATGCAATTTACAAATGGAATATTTTAACTGTCTATTAAAATGTTTTTAGATCATTCATTAGGAGTAAAAGAAGGAAGTACACCCGATTATGTCAATTATGGACTTGTTCAGGACACCAAATATAAGAAAAAACACTCTCATTTTAATGTATACTTGGTAAATCAGTCTGAAACTACATTTAAGGATTTTATGTTTTTATACATCACGATGGTACCATACTATAATTCTTTGATCCAGGTTTACAAGCACGTAACATTGTCTTCTTGGATTTTTTTCTGTGCTGTGGTGGAGCTTCCCATTGGGCTCATATTTTATCTGCTGGTCAACAAGGGCTTGATGCTCCCTCAGATACTCACTTTCACCATGCCCATTTTGGTTTTGAAATTGAAGGTGACAAGTGAAG